CACCATCAGATAGCCAGCCCAACCCTAAACCCCAAGCCCAAAACCCGAACCCTAATCCCTAACCCTAACCCCTAAACCCTAAACCCTAAACCATGAACCCTAAAACCCTAAACCCTAAACCCTAAAACCAAACCCTAAACCCTAAACCCTTAACCCTAACCCTAAACCCTAAACCCTAAAACCCTAAAACCCTAAAGCCTATGCAATCCTTATCCAAGCGGCCACGCCCTTCATCGACTCCAACTCAGGAACAGAGATGGCCAGCAGCAGAGATCCCTCCCCCTGCGAGGGCTTTTGCGAGTTTGAGGCCTTCAAGGTGTTTAGGCCTTCAAGTGTTTCAAGGCTTTGGGTTTAGGGTATAAGGTTAAGGGTTTAAGGTTAAGGGTTGGGGTTTAGGGTTTAGGGTTTAGGGTTTAGGATTAAGGGTTTAGGGTTTAGGGTTTAGGGGTTAAGGGTTTAGGGTTGAGGGTTTAGGGTTTAGGGTTCAAGCTTTGTCTAGTGCGTGTTCCGGTTTAGGGTTTGTGTTGAACTCCTACAGCAAAAAGAGCTTGAAGATGTTTGCTTTCAGACCTTTTGGGCTTAATGGAGGGGCCTTCATAATTAGAATAGGGTTTTGGGATTCCTTTAAAGGGTCCCTTGAAGGGTTCTATAAGGGCTACTACAAGGGTTTAGGGTTTAGGGGCCTTCATAATTAGAATAGGGTTTTGGGGTATCCTATCGCTAATTATCATAGGGAACCCCCAAAATAGTGTAGGTAATCATTAAGGCCCCTGCATTAGAGTGAGGCTTTGGCGCTGTCGGAAGCTCTAGCGTTGAGGGCGGCTGCCGGGCTAAACGGCTTAGAGCAGAGAGACTAGAACCTTGGAGTTTAGGGCTTAAGGCTTTCGGCTTTAGGGTTTAGGGCTTTAGAGTGTAGGGTCTTTAGGGTTTAGGGTGTTGGGGTTTAGGGTTTAGGTCTTTAGGGTTTAGGGTTTTGGGTTTTGGGTTTAGGGTATTAGGGTTTTGGGGTTTAGGGTTTAGGGTCTAGGGTGTAGGGCGTTAGGGTATTAGGGTTGGTTTAGGGTTTTGGGGTTTTGGGTTTAGGGTTTAACTCGGAATTCTTGGAGTGGCGCGGCAAGGCTGTACATCACTGCGTAGGGTTGCGGGCTTTGGGACAGTCTAAACCCCAAGCCCTCAAAAACTCCAAAATGCTAAACTTTCAAAATCCACAAAACCCACATCCTGGTTTATGGTCGACGTTTAGGGGCTGCGAGCTACATCAGCGGTCTTCAGCGTTTAGAGGCTTCAGGTTTACTTATGAAGAGGTTTAGGGTTTAGGGTTTAGGGTTTAGGGTTTAGGGTTGGGTTTCGGGATCCGGGTTTAGGTAGGAGCAAAGCTTGAATCGATTGTTCTGGCTCCTGTCTTCCTCCTTTCCCTAAACCCATTAACCCTAAACCCCAAACCCGAAACCCTCGTTCAAGGGATTAGCATGCATTAGGAGTGGCCTGTGAGTCCCGCAACTGTAGAGAATACCAGAAGACGACAAGAAGAACTACAAGACAAGACAAGCGTAGAAGACAACTACTACCATAAAAACTCAAGAATATGCAAGAACAACTGTAAGCTTCCACCCAAGCCTAAACTCTAAATCGTACAGAAGCCTTCCACCCAAGAAGGATGAACAGCATGCTCCCCGACATGTCGCACGTCTTGGCCGGGAGTTCGACTTCAGTTCCGATAAAGCCGCGTCAGTCTAGACCGACATAGGGCTTAATATAGGGGCCTGAATGATTAGAATAGGGTTTTGGGGTCTTTTAAAGTATAAATATAATAAGGAACCCCAAAATAATATAGGTAGTTATTGAGACCCCTATATTACGCAGGGTTTAAACAATGGATCAGCAAACCAACCAAGATCTTCCACGGCCGGGGAAGCCCGACAGACACTGTGCACAACATGCCGGGATCCAAATGATGGGGTTTAGGGTTTAAGGTTTAGGGGGTTAGGGGTTTAGGGTTTAGGGGTTTAGGGTTTAGGGTTTAGGGTTTAGGGTTAAGGGGTTTAGGGTTTAGGGTTCATGGAAACCGTTTCTGGTTGAAGACGCGAAGTCGCGGTAAGTCGGGATCGAACTCGCTGAAGAAACTGTGGTCAAGGGCGCTCGAAGATGACGGGCCTCCGCCTCCTCTGCGCGGATCTTCATCACACCCTAAACCCTAAACCCTAAACCCTAAAGCCTCTTTCTCGATTCTCAAAGCGGTCTGGGGCAAGTTCTTGCAGGCTTGCAGGCCTTGTGCGGGTCCCAAGTGCGGACCCGTAGGTGATGTAGGGGCCTAAATACTTGCCAATACTATTTTGGGGGGTTCCTTCATATAATTGTAGTATACTATCTTGGGGGTTCCTTATTATAATTGTAGTATACGATTTTGGGGGCTGCTTATTACAATTGTAGTATACTATTTTGGGGGTTCCTTATTATAATTGTAGTACACTATTTTGGGGGTTCCTTATTATAGTTATAGTATAGTGGGCCCCCAAACCCTATTCTAATTATTAAGGCCCCTATATTAGTCCTTGCAGCAATTCATGTTGTTCACACGACGCGGTCTCAAGATGACTCCAGGGAATGGGCCAATCTTTGGCCTTGCTTCTAAAGCCCTCAACCCCAAATCCTAAACCCTAAACCCTGGCAAAGACGCTGCTGTGGAAGCATCGAGTCTGTGGTGGGAAAGGTTTGGGGTGTAGGGTTCAGGGTTTAGGGTTAAGAGTTTTCAAGGTTTTGGGCTGCATTTTCTACACCCTTCATCCCTAAACCCTAAGCCCTAAACCCTTAAATCCGAACCCCTAAACCCTAAAAACCCTGAGCCCTTACACCATAACCCCTAAACCCTAAAACCCTAAACCCTATAACCCTAAACCCTATAACCCTAAACCCTAAACCCCAAATCCCGAAAAAAAAAACTAAACCCTCGACCCTCGAAGCTCCAAACCCTCGCGATCCGACCTCCGTGAGGGTGTGGTCTGCTGCCTGTCGTTCCGGCTCCTTTGGCCTGCCATCGCATTCTAAGGTTACAAGGTATGGGCCCCTAATATGGACCCTTAGGCCTTTCTAGGGACCCTTAAGGGTATATATAGGGTATATAGTATACGGATCCAATATCCCAGAGACTCCAATATCCCTTTATTAAGGAATATACCTTAACTTTTGGTAGGATCCCTTATAAGATTTAAGGTATATTCCTTAATTCATCCGTATTGGAGTCTCTGGGATCGGAGGCCAGGGAGTTGGGGCTCAACAGGGTTTTAGGGTTTTAGGGTTTTAGGGTTTAGGGTTTAGGGTTTAGGGCTTTAGGGTTTTAGGGTTTAGGGTTTAGGGTTTAGGGTTTAGGGTTTTAATGTTTAGGGTTTTAGGGTTTAGGGTTTGGGGTTCAAAAGGGTTTAGGGCCGAGTGCCTGGGACGTTGGGGTGTGAAGGGGTTCAGGATCTGGGATTGGGGCTTGGGTTTTAAGTGCAATGTTGAAGTTCAGCCGCAGGTTGTTGTTTAGGATTTAAGGAATCGAGCGTGTAATTTCATATGGGACCTCCCTGGCAACGCCTTGGCATAGAACGTCTTTAGATGACCTTCTACAACAAGCCCCTTGCATTTAAGCACTTTAATAAAGTGCAGGCTGTTACACCCTCAACCTTCAAGTACTCACCCTAAACCCTGAATCCTAAACCCTTAACCCGAAATCCTAAACCCTAAACCCGAAATCCTAAACCCTAAATCCTAAACCCTAAACCCTAAACCCTTACTGGCAAGCTTCCAGCAAGCCTGGATGGCTCACTCGGAGACGCTGTAGCTGCTGTCACCTGCCCAGTCAGGAGCTGCCTCTCCTTGTCTTGAGCCCCCGAACCCTAAACCCCAAACC